CGCCACGCAAGCACAAAACTTATACATCCACAGCACAGCACAGCACAGCACAGCACAGCACAGCACAGCACAGCACAGCACAGCACAGCACAGCACAGCACAGCACAGCACAGCACAGCACAGCACAGCACAGCACAGCACAGCACAGCATAGCACAACACACCGCACAATACACACAGCACACAGCACACAACACACAACACACAACACCCACCCACACACCCAGACACACACCCACACACACACACACGCACCCACGCACCCAAGCACGCAAACACGCACACACAAGCTCAAGCACAAGCACAAGCACAATCACAAGTACAAGCGCAAGCACAATCACAATCACGAGCACACACACAAGCACAAGCACAAGCACAAACACAAACACAAGCACACACACAAACACAAACACGAACAAGCAAATACACATACACACGATGCAAACACTTTTTGCGTCGGCGGCTAGGCAGAAGGACTTTGCTGGCGGATAGGGCGTCAGTATGTAAACGAAAGCGAATTTGGCCGCGATGTACGAGGGGGCAGACACACACACACTCACACAGGCACACACACATACACATACACATACATACTTACACACATGCACACGTACACATACACACATGCACACATACACCAGTACACACATACACATATACACATATAGACATACACATGCAAATTCACGTTTTCCGTTAGCGGCGAGGCGGCGAAGTCCGCTCCAGCGAGAAGCTAGATAGGGGCACTCACTAGCGAATTGGCCAGCGAGCAAATAGAGGGGGGGACGGCCGAGAGGAAGAAGGGACGCTCAGACGCCGAAGAGTTCGACGATGAGCAGTCGGGGGGGGGCAGCAGCAACCAGGCGAGCAGGGCCAGAGCGCGGTGGGTGGCCGTGGCGAACCACGTTGGCAAGGGTGGCGGGAGGGCGGCAGCCAGCGGCAGGGGCTTGCAGGGGACGCAGTGGCACACCACGAACGGCGTACCGCGGCGCACCGAGGAGAAGGCAAAGAACACTGAGCCGTGCAGAGGAAGTAGCAGCGGCCAGATGGCTGGCAGTGGCAGGGGTACTGCGGCGTGACCGCCCAAGTCCAGGTGGCCAGGGGGCCGGGAGAGGTGGGGCGGGAGGCGGCGGGCGAAGCGTCCCAGGCGCCCGCAGGCGGCGGGGCGGAACAGCAACGCAGGGAGGAGGAAACGCGGGGCAGCCAGAAGGAAGTGGCAACGCTGGCCCCCTTGTCCACAGTTGGGGGGCGGGGGGAGGGGTCCTGAGCTCCCCTATCCACAGGGGGGCCGCTCCCTTGTCCCCCTTGTCCACGGGGGGGGATCACGACCCAGGGCGCCGCCCCAGGGACCCCTCCCTGGAGCCCCCCGTTCCTCGCGGGACCCCCCCCCCAGACCGCGCCCTGGAAGCCCCCTGAACCGCAGCCCTTCCCAACAGGGAAGGGATCAAATGGAAGGGGTTTCTTTTCGAAACAATTACGACGTTGTTTGATTTCCGCGTGGCTGGATCGCTTGAGGAGGAGAGCCCAGGGAACGGAGGGGAGCGGCGGCGGCGACGACGACGACCCAAACGGGAAAACGTTTCACACACGACGACAGGGTCAGCGGATGCAGGGATCGCGCTCGCGCTCGAGATTTCCGTGCGCTAGACTACAGAATCGGGTTCTTGCCCGATGTTCCCCCGGGACTTCTGTAGTAATTGCGCTCTGGCCTCTGAGAATAGCACTCTGGTTTGGGATCCCTTCGCGATGTGTTTAAGAATCGCGTTCTCGCCGCTCAATATTTGCCCTCTCGCGCACGGTTTTTCCAGTTTATATTTTAATCGCGCTGTTGGACATTTCGCAACGGTTTATGCACGTCAGGAGTAACGCTTTCATGTCTCGCCCTCTTTAGGGTCCTTCCACCCGACCCATTGTTAGTGTCGGACCGTTCGCTTGTCTGTAAGCCTGTACGGCTGTTTTGATGTCCCGCCCGCCCGGCCCGCTCGTTAGGGCCCGCCCATCCGATTGGCCTGCTAGAAGTTCGCCCGCCCGACCCGCCTGCTAGGGCCGCCCACCCGGGCCGCTCGCTAACGTTCGCCCTTCCGACTCGCTCGTTTGGGTCCGCCAAATCGCTTGCTTAGAAGCGCGACCAACCCCGTTTGTCAGGGTGCGCCCGCGCGACTGTCTCGTTGGGGTCCGCCCGCCTTGCCTGCTCGTCAAGGGCCACCCGTCCGACTGTCTCGTTCGGGTCCACCCGTTCGCTTGCTTGGAAGCCCGCCCTGCTGCTTGCCGACCGCCCGAGCCGTCCGTTAGCGTGATGCTCCGTAAGACAGCGGGGGCAGGACGATTGCGAAGGCGATGTGCCATCCGAACCGAATATGGTAAGCTGCCTCGGAAGACTTGTTGGCAAGGTCTCATCGAACGAGAAATCTGCGTTTGGGGAAGTCGGGTCCCGTGTGCTTTGAATCTCTGCCCTTATGCAGCCAGGCGTGTATGTGTGTGCATCATGATGGGTTCATGTTGCATATAAGAGCGGTGACCAGTATGACGAAATACTGGTTGTCGT